CGCGTGTCGAATTTCGTTCAATCTAACCACTCTCCTTACATCCGGAACGCCTTTGAAAAATCTCTGCTTCATGATATTTCCCTCATCAGAGGCTGGCTGGCCGACCGGCGATTAAAATCAATAACCATTTTTAAACTTCGTATCAATCCTTGTCCTGATGGCTTAAATGGATGTCCGCTTCTTTAGAATTCTGTTACGCAATTAGAAAACACGTTACAGAAAAAGTTAGTACCCTTTTCTTCCCAGGAGCCGGAATTCACCTATTTACAGCGGACGTACGGCTGTACGGCTGCAGTTGTTGACAACGACTGAGCTATTTGAATATGCTTGAATATTCGCTCATTCTCGGTAGAGCCACAAGGTCATTTTACGCTAAAAGTCGCTATAGCGAATGGTGCTACGGATTAGGAATATACTATATTGCGCTGGAGTTATGAAACGCGTTGCTCTTCGGCACAGGCATGCCATGAAAGCGAAAAGGTCTACAACGTTCAGATTGACAAACCAGAACTTTACAAATCAGTAAGCATGAATTAAGTGGGGACCTCGACTGATACTTTGTTACAAGGTTTCTGGGGGGGGATAAATTCTGGTTCCAGGACCTTTGAATGAATTGATGCAAAGGTTTCACGTCCGTTGTGTAATCCCTTGGAATACGGTGCAGCTAGAAAGTGACCACGCCTTTCTACTGGGCTTGTACAACAGTGGTGGCTGAGTGGCCTGTGTGTGGACCCAAATGCCCTTGAACAACCTATAAAGCGGCAGTAATTTTGAACTACTAAAAGACGAATAAGTGTGTTAGGTTTAGTCATTCTTGTATTCAAAATATCTTACCCTAAACGGAATCCGCTGTCACGTGAATCCGGTGACCAAGTTACATCCCCATTGCGATAGAAAACTTCCCTATCAGATATAAAAGTGTCACTTGTATTGCACCGACAGATGAGATAAATTTTGATCGAAGAATACTGGCTTAAAGTACCATCTCGGTTCAAGAAGCGAGGAAGTTATTTATTCTAAATGGTCAACAGGGAGTCCGGTGTGTTCAAACAGATTTTGGGCTGCTTAGTTTGCCACCCACTACCATGCTTAAGTGAAAATGAGTAGTGCTTCACCCCTGTCACAACCACTGACCCACCGCTACGCACCACTACGCTGCCCACTAACGCACTGATGATGTTACCTCGATTGGTGATTAAACGTTTACAATCAATTTACCCAGCTCAGCAAACAAGCCAACGACCATATAATCAAAAGCTGGCTTCCATTCCTTCTCGTGAGGATATAGGAGTGACTGAGACGTAGAAGGCGCCAAAGTAACTACTCTACTGAAATTCAAACGTCTATGAAATAAAAGTTCAGTTTGGTTGTGCTCTGAGACAAGAATGAAGAAAACAGTTCGAACCAGTTGAAACAATGGGTTTAAGTGTAACTGTGGTGAGGCAAAATGAAAGGAAAACGTTCCCCAAGGGATGATCCTGTAGTCTTCTCACGCTCACCTTTCCCTTTTTTGTGTTTTCACGCCAGCCAATGAGTTCTGATATTGATTTCCGGCAAGAACTCTCACCCACCGATCACCCTCCATCAATTAGAAGTGTCACCTGGACGATCATAGTAATGTGACGATTAGGTGAACACTACTGACTACCCGATACGGATGGGGGTAATGATTGAACTACGAGTTGATGGGCGGGCAAGTGCTTGGGATTTTTCGACCGGGAATCTATGTAATTACGTAAAATTGACTCCCAAACTGCTGCCGTGCTAAGATACTACTTATAAGGTTGATGAACATTGTTCGACAGTTCATTAACGGTCTCTTTATCTCCGGGCTGATCCGGTATCTTTAATCCCCATACTTTTCACCCACCGTATTACGTTCTTTCGAATTTGTGCTTCTGTGAGAAGACGCTAGTGGCGGGCAAGTTCTAGGCGGAGCACACCACTCATAACGTTGCTGAAAACCCTTCGACAGCACTCGACCGGTTTCGTCCTTGTGCTAGGCGCGGTTCCTGAGTTTCCAACTGAAATGAAGAGAACGGGAAACAGCCTTTCGTTTCCCATAGGCTTTTGACTTAGTCATCTGTACAGAGTGGTAGCCTAATCCACTGTCAGTGGCCGAGTGTTTGTCTGCCCCCACTACATCGAACGTGCTCTGTCTGAATCGCTAGTCATGACGTGACAGCGCTTTGTGAGTCATCGCAAGCGTCATATGTTCTTCCACATGCTGACGTTCTGTCTCTGTATCTCTGTTGTTCGCTGGTGGTGTCCTAGTGACGGACACTCTAAAGTACAGTTCATGTGCAGCAGTTGGGGCCGTATGCACAAACAATCTGTCACACCGTAGACTCCGTCCCTGCTCCCCAAACAGGACTGCCTAGTTTACACGACACGAAGGCCAATGTTTAACCTACCTGCACGTATGTTTTGAATAATGACAAGAAACTATGGCGTTTTTCTACATAAATCGTCGTCACTCAAACACACAACGGAATCCCGACTGAATCGCTCTCCAACCGGATGTGCTGCACAAATGCCTCCTCATGTTAGTACGATGGTAGTTCACCGAAAAAAGTCCTTAGATGAACAGCGAAGCCCTAAACTGTCCAATTCGATAGTGACCAGAGGAATTAATTGTTGTTTATCTTGTTCGGATCGATGCATCATCGTGTGGTCCCAATCTCGCCTTTCCGAAATCTCATATCGTACTAACCACCTCCATCTTAATAAGTAGTGCATTCCCGAGTTGTGTCTGGCGATACCTCTTGTGCAGACAACAGTGCTCGAACAAAGAACACAATCATGGCTACCAAACTGGGGACGCTTTACCATTTGTCTTAACAGGAAACTGCACTCGGCCACGATAGATGAACTGATTATACTGCGTAGGTTGCGCTGGCTTGGCCGCGTGCTCCGTATGTCAGTTAACCGGCTTCCTCGAGCAGGCCCATCTCTCGCAACAACTTGAAGGGTGTAAACGAGTCAGGGTGGTCAAACACTCACTAAGCGGTGAAGTGTGGAGACCATTACCTACAAACGCGGATGCGCTGGTCATTGACATCTCGGTGGCCCAAGCGATTGCCTCCAATGCATAGCTTTCTTCCCAGTGAAAAGTTCAATACTAACTCTGTATTTACGCGTCGATTCTATCAGCAACCGCCTCCAGCACGCAGCTCTGTACATCACCTTCTTAAATTATCGATGAACGAAACTGTGGCAGCTGTAATCACTGTGAAGAAAGTACGCGGTTATTACAGCTGATGATGATGAAGAAAATACGCGGTTATTAAAGCTGATGATGATTATGTGGTTGCTGAAAACTCTAAGTAGCCTACCAAAGGTCACACCTTAAATCTCGACCAGTCTCGGAACCTGGTCACTTGGCCTAACGAAGCTTTTGTGTCAAAAGCGAAACGTTGCCCAGCAATAAATCTACCGATTGTCACCAAACTTTTTCGAAGGTCACACCTTCTTCGGGACTCATCAAAGAGGCGCAGTCCTAGAGATCGCGTCAGCCATATGCCCCAAGTGAACCCAAATTGAACGAAATTCGTAAACTGCGTAAACTGTGTGTACCCATTTGGTTTTAATTGGCGATTCAAATGAATCCCAGATAAACCTCTCATCCAAGAAATTCTTCAACTGAATGTGCTGCCAAAAGGTCAAGTTATGTGTCATTTGGAGTGCTAATGAGTGCATTTAACGGATTTTATACAATTAAGGTTCAAATGGAACATAAACCTGATGGAAAATAATTGCGTAATCGAAGAGTGCGCTTCGGTTCTGGTTAATCACACTAGCCGCTAGCGTCTGAATAGCATAATCTCTAACTAGTAACCGTGAAGGTTCGGATTCGAGCCTTCCCAGAAATTTATGAGATTCAAATTGCTGATGACTGCCAATAAGGTTGGAACTCGATTTCTCGCCACAGACGAATATGACTCGCACGATGAAAGTTTCGGATTCGAGCCTTCCCAGAAATTCATGAGATTCAAATTGCCGATGATTGCCAGTAAGGTTGGAACTCGATTTTTCGCCACAGACGAATATGACTCGCACGATGAACTTTCAGTTGAGCTTCCAGATACGCCAAAATAAACATGGCTTGAGTTAATCATCAATGACCACGTCGGAAGAGTAAGGGTCTTTATCGAACAGGATAACTTCCCCTCTACCCCAGAGCACTGATTTAGAAGAGTTTGAAAGACAATCGATTGGGCTCCAGTGTACTGTCTATAACGACGTGCAGAAACCAAGCCTCAACGGCCAAAATATATTTCGAGGTAAAGACAATCATTCAGTAGAACAGAAACTTGCTCACTTGGGGCGTTAGTACACGTTTCGAGCGAACAAGTCAGCAGATGTTCAGATTTTGTCTGGGGTTGTCTGTCAAATGTGGCAGTCAAAATTGACACTACTGTCATCAGTGTCGGTCAGTTTGATAGGCCTGAAAGCCCCGGCTAAGGCTACAGAGGTCAAGGCCAACTGAATTCAGCTTGAATCCTTTACCTGCATCAAACCCCGTCATATTTCACAATATCGGTAGGGAGAAAACACAGATATTGCGAAATGGAAACTTTGCCCTGTAGGTGAAGTCATTCTATGTCGAGAAGCCGAGAGACCCACTGTGCGAGAAGCACGGTCTGTTCAGATAGTTACTCAATATGTAGAGACCGTGGTAGATAGATATACTAATTGGGACAACGTTGTAAGTGTGATGGCCTGTATTTAGTCTCAAAAGTGCAATTAGTGTGCTATTTGCCATTACTTCTGAAAACTGTTTGAAAACAGCTACTGGAAAGTGCTTGAAGAGCGTTGGAATTCAGACAACACGTTCAAAATGGCAAGCTGAATAAATTCCTCATTCTGACCCTTATTAAAAATAGATGAAAATGGAGATGACTTCGTTCCAAAGTGAACCGACACGTAGGAAAACCTGAACGGACAGCGGATTATATAATCGTAGAAATGGGGAGCTCCGTGCTTTATTGATGAGCAAGATGTTGATGACCAATCGTGCCACCGGCGTGGTCCAAGAAAACAATCCCCTGATAGATGAAGACTCGGCTCAGTTTGGGGAGCGATTTTTCCGAACAGAGAGTGCGACGAATTATCAGATGAGCGTTTTTAGTGGATTTGTAGGCAGAAATACAAACACAGGAGTGCGTATGAAAAGCTACCAGATTGGGAATGAGTCACATAGTCATCAATGAGTAATGAACTAAACCCACTCCTCTGCAATTCCAAACTTGTACACTTGGAAGACAGATGGGTAGTCTTCAGACGACTTGAATGCGAGGCTGTGGAGTTCCCAAGAGGCAGTGTAACTGGTACTCAAAAGTTGGCCAGTACTCCCCAAAATGCTCTTAGTTGGTAACTCAGCATTTCCGCAGTGAGGAGAATCGCGAAGTATCGTTTGTGTAGTCAATCGGTTCGATACATCTGCCTCATATAGGAAGGTCACAATCACTTGGTTTAGCCACCTTATGATCTGGAATTCAATCATACCAACAGCAATTCTGAAAGGCCTGCAACGGTGACAGTCCGTTTCCGGTTTCTTCTTGAGGCTTATCAAGAAGGCGTAGTTCCCAGTTGGACAATAATTTGTACGCAACTGGAGAAATATACTCACTTGCCAAATAAGTTGGTGATCATGGGAGACTCAACTGAATCAAAGCTGAATTTCCGGTTTCCAACATTTATCACATCCTAATCTTGTCTCTAAATCATTCCTCCTGGACTTGTAACTCATTATCTCAATCTGGGTCACGATCAGGCCCGTCTATCGATCGTGTATGGTCCAGATTAGAGGTTAGCCGCGCATAAAGCAATGCGGGTTTTCCGACGTGTACCTGTCCATTTGACGCGCGTAGCGCACACAAACACTCAAAAAACGGACTCCCCTTGCACAAGGTGAGCAGCGACTGTGGTTATCGGATGTGAGTGTCCATATCGGCCCATATCACACACTAAGCGATGGTGCTACACATGCCCCACCGACAATACGAGAGCATTCGACCCGAATTAGCATGAAGCATTAGCATTCGTTATACGTGCACGTGTTCCTTTTCCGCTAAGTAGTGCCATCCGATTGTCCACACAGGTGGGGACGCGCTGATCCAGATTGCGGACAACTTTACTCCAATTCATATTACTGAGATAGCATTGACATCGACCCACAATTGGCTTAATATGAGGAGGAAACCGATGAGTAGAATGCTTGTAAATCCTCATGTCGATGTGGTGATACTCCTCAAAGAAATAACGGATCCTGAAAAAAATGATCAGTCGACGGAAAACATGGTTGGCCGAATGGTCTCCTAGTTGTGTGGTAGATAGCATAACTTGTCGGGTGAATTGTAAAGTTAGGAAAGTATAATCACGAACTAGGAGTAAGATAGCTTCGAAAAGCTGGAGTACACAAATCAGGTGTTCTCATTTGTGATTGGAACGGTGCCGCAAATGTGAACCGAAGTAGTGCGTAGCCATGAATCTATCGATTATTGGACGTGAGAAAATTCACTTATACGGAACAAACAAGGCTTATTCAATTAAAGTTTCATTCGTTTAGCTGTAGCACCCTTTTGGTGCCTATCCGCTATGCCACCAAAAGGAAACACGAGGGTTGAGACACTGCCAGGCTACCCAAGCCTAGACAGGGAAAGTCGAGATGTAGGGGTCGGGTTCGAATCACAGAGCTTTCGGCCAGTGAACTCAATCTCTAACCATTGAGCCATCTCGCCCATTGCAATTTTTATCCATCTGAAAGGTCTTTATAGCGGAAGAATAATACTCTTTTTCATAAAGGAAACTACTCTTCAAACTCTTCAAAAGACCACCACCGGTTTCACCTTTCTTGGAAAAACCAAACTGATTTGCAAATGAGTGTATTTTTCAAAAACAGTCCAATTTGGGTTCAAGTAGAACATAAGGTTGATGGAAACTCGGGGACTGCGCCTACCTGATGAGCCCCAAGAAGATCGAAATCGATCCTGATCTGTCGAAGAGTTTTCAGCCCAGTCGGGCCAGAACTGACAAACAACCCAGCTGCTGAGGACACCCCGTGCCGTTCGGCAGATTGGACCGGTGCCTTGTGTTCTTCGAGGCTGATAATTGAATTTATCTGGCTTCTCCAACACCCCAACCGTTCTTTTGTTTTCTTCATTAGTAAAGATCTCCTGATATCCCCCCTCCATTTCGACTTTCATGTCGGCGGATAATTCAGGTACTGATTGTCCCTATTCTGATCCACGGCTTTTGCGCCATATTCAAAGATGCTCATAAGACATCCCGATTAAGTATCGCTAATCTGGGATCTGTCAGTAAACTCTGCAGTGCCTTCCAGAATGTTACAGCTGTTAACCAGACTGATTTCCATGTTCATTCTTCCAAGTATCAAGGTTGTTAATTCTTTTCCTCTGTTCTCATTGTGCACAACGGGTTTCTTCGTTTCTGTTGGGTGTCCATATTCCCTCCTTTTGTTAACCAAGCTTTGACATTGAAGTCTCGCGCCTAGTTCAGTACAGTCAAATGGTTATTTTATGATCACTTTGTCTTGACTCGGTGTGAAATCTGGTTGAACGTATTGTTTGTATAGGATCCCGTTTGGAATTAACAATACTTAGCCCGGAATGTAAAATCCGGCGTAATCCCATGATTTGAGGTTTCATCACTTTGTTTTTGTGTTCATTTGTTGATAAAGCTCCATCAGAACGATTCGATTTTTAGGCGTTTCGCCCGTGCATCAAAGTAGCCCAATTCATTGCTGGGAACAATCAATGAGCTTTCGATATGACGTTTGTAGGGTGAAACACCTCTCGACTTATACACTCATCTTCACACAAATTTGGTTTTGACGGGAAACTCATCTGGAACTCGACTGAATCTCTCGTTTATGATGCTTTCAAGCAACTGAATATGTCGCACCAGGCCGCCTCATGTTTCAGTTGATACGATAGTTGTGAAATCGCGATACATTTTATGGACGTAATGGACTGCGTATGAGCTTGCTAAATACCCTTCGACAGACAACGACCCATTTTGTTCTCCTTGGTAGGTAGGCTCGGTCCTCAACTTTCGTCATCTTCATGTTCTACTGGAACGCAAATTGCACAAAATCAACGAAATACACTCATTTCCATACCAATTCGGTTCTGAAGGAAGACTCATCTAGATCCCGTATGAGGTTCTTCATTTTTCGTTTTTGCTCCTAAGACTCCTTGCTTTGCTTGGTCAACCCAGCAGAACTTTTATCATCAGGCACATCCCCCTGAGCTTACCATACTGCCACGCGGTTTGTCATCCCTTGTTCCCAGAGTGATTTCCAAATGTACCGTTCACTTCATCCACCAGAATATCATTATTCGAGTAACATCTTACCCACGAAGATCATCCTTCAAAGTATGACATTATGAAAGTCAGGTCGATCAAGATCTACAGCTATTTTGGCCAGATACAGTGCTAGTCGCAACATTTTTCGTTTGCGACCACTCTCAGGTTCGACGATCAGGCTTTCACACCTGGATCCAACCGTGTTGTTGACGCTGCATCTGGTAAACATGTAGTGCTTTGAAAAGTCAGGTCCTACAACACTACTCTAAGCTTACCTTGATTTGTCTTGGTCGGCCCGGATTCCATCATTTTGCACGATGCTAACTTCATCCAGAGTCGTTAATTCTGATCGGCCTCATCAGTTAAGCTTCTAGAGAGGTCTGACTGTACTTTCCCCGTTCCTTTCTCTTAAACATTATAATCTCATGGCAGTTTCTCGCGTCTCCTTCCTGTTCAAAGTGCGTCTGTTCTGTGTAGGACCAACATAGTCGGGTTTCACATCGGTCTCTGATCCATTGATTATTACAGTCTTACTAACTAAGCTTATCATTTTCAACAACCTTATGAGTAGTGAATTACGAATATACAGGTATCGCGATATCTCGAATGTCCTAGCGACTGAAACCTGAGGCGGCCTGGTGAATTACATTCATTTGCCTGAAAACATCACAAACGAGACATTCAGCTGGGTTCCAGGTGAGTCTCTCGCAAAACCAAATTTGTTTGCAAATGAAATGCAACTTTCGTTTGTTTTTTCGGTCTTGTTTCTGGTGTTTTGTTCGACCGGATATGCCAAGCGGAATGTGTTCACTACCATTGAAAGATCACGCAACTGTGGTCCAATGCATCCAAGTGTCCATCTGCCTACCTACCCACCTAGGTTTTGGCTCAACCTCCGTCTGAGATGGCAGTCTGTTGTGTCTTTTTTCAGCAATTTTTCAATGTCCATTTCACAAGCCTTACGTTCAACAGCAGTCTCACTGGTGGTTGATCAGATGGCAGTTGATCTGTTCCTCGAGCTTGGCGATTGGCTTGCAAACGCAGTTGAATGCGCACTGACGACATCTCTTCGACTGGGGAGGAAATGTTTGCTAGCCAATTGCCAAGCTCGACGAACGGATCAACTGCCATCCGATCAAACACCAGTAAACTCACCCGAGCTGCCTACATTTCGACAAATTGATTCACCTATCTCGCACATCAAATTTTTTGAAACCTTGTCGACGTTATTTTGACGTTCGAGAACATGCGTGGGAATAGTCTCGGAATCTTGACACATACACCTGCGGAAAAGGGGGGGCCAATGTCGCAGATTCAGCGGTGCGAAAAAGTGACATGTACCAACGTTACATAATGTGAGCAAACTCATTTGTGAACATGTGGAGAGGGTTTTTTTCTCGCTTCAGCGAACGCTACATAGGCGTCTAATCTTTCACGACCACGAGCTTCTCAATTCGGCAGTTTTGGCAATTTCTAGTCTCGATTCCTCTTAGTATTGGTTTCTACCCAATGTTCACTTCGTTTGGGATTGGCCTGATCTTTGAGTAGGAGTTGATGCTGTCATTTTTGTCGTTGCAACTAGATATTTTGTTGTGTGTAATGGGTCTATATCAACTTCCAAACTATTCCCGCGGTCATGGTTGCCCTTTTATATTAATGTTCGCGCCGAGTTTTGATCCGTTGGATCATAAACTGCGAATAGTTTTAATTCTGAAACTTGCGCTATAAGTAGTCGAGAATGGAGATTGCTCATCAGATCCGCCTCATTGCCACAGTTTGCCCGACCACAGATTCTCCCGTATCAAGCTGAACGTTGCGCATTGGCTTCGTAGGCTAAGTGATCCAGACAATTACGAAAACCAAGCTGAAGACAGTACATTTTAATGCCCAGACTGGGGAGATCTGAGCTGCATTCATCCACAGTCGCATCCATCACTCAGTTAGAATCTAATACATTACTCATAAGGTCGCCGAGAACTCTTCACGACCGGTTTCACCCTACTTGGAACTGATCAAGTACGCGCAGTTCCCGAGTCTCCGTCAACTATGTTTTACTTGAACCCAAATTTCAGGAGATTAGCGAAATACACGCATTTGTATAAACCAGTTTGGTTTTGAGGAAGACTCAACTGGGATCCAGCTGAATATTTCGTTCATGATTTTTTGTGCAACCGTGTGTCTCACCAGGCCGACTCAAGTTTCAGTTGATACACTTTGAGTTGCTTGAAAATGTCATAAACGAGTGATCCAGCCGGGTCCGCATAACCAAAAACAGGTAGAATCTCATTACAGTTGTGATAGACCAATATAGAAACGGCCGTCGTATAGAAGTGAACGAGCTGATAGTGTCACACCACGAAGTAAAATATGAAATATGATAAAATGTGATGAAATGTGTGATGTGAAATGTGAAATGTGAAATCAGTTTGCAAATGAGTGTATAATAGCTAATTTCGTGCAATTTGGTTTCAAGTAGAACATAAAGTTGACGGAAACCCGGGGACTGCGCCTACCTGATGAGCCTCAAGAAGGGTGAAACCGGTCGTGTGCTGTCGAGGGATTCTCAGCAACCTTACGAGTAGTGCACTACAAAATGCTAAACCAATTTCTAAATAGGGCTTTGGTCATGGGATGTGTAGGATCGGATGAGCTTTAGGACTAATTATGTTTATCCTGATCTTTTTTTCTACCAAGTTTGCTCGTTTGAGGGGCTGATCAGTTGAGAGACGCAAGCTGCGCAACAGTTTCGTTCTACATAGACACTAGTCCCCAATTTGTCGAAATATAGGTAGCTCGGGTGTGTTTACTGATGGTTGATCGGATGGGTCCCATTCAACCACGCACTGACAATGTCTCCTCGACTGGGGGCGAGACGTTTGCAAGCCAATTGCCAAGCTCGGCGAACAGATCAACTGCCATTCGATCAACCACCAGTAAGCTGCCCTTCATCTTCAATTTATTTTAACGGATTTTTGAGAGTTCAGTTGAACTGATTAGATTGAACACTCAGATTGTTTATCTGGTATGCTTGCGCGAGGGAAACACATTAGAGGAAACTTATTTTTAGTGGAATTCACTATCTGCCGACCAATTCGGTTTCAATACAAGACTTATCTGAATTTTTGTTCTTCAACTGATGTCCCCTCATGTTTCGGTCGGCACGTAAGCTGAGGTATCACAGTATAATTTATTGACGGAAGAATAACAGCTGAGATTCAGTTGAGCTTTCCGCTGTAACCAACTAGCTGTGCAAGTGAGCGAGTTGCGTTCAATTTGGGTTCAGAGAGAAGATAGGGCTGACGTTAACTCAGCGACCGTGCCTATTTGATGAGCCCCATGAGGAGTCTGTAGACAGGTTTTCAGAAATCTTATGAGTAGTGTGTTGCACCAAGAACCTCATGATTGACAGATTTAAAGCCAAATCTCAATCTACAACGTAAGGCTTCGAGTGTGTAGGAAGCAAGACTACTGCATTATGGTTATTTCTGTGAAACGTGTCTCCGAGGCATAGAAATACCAAAGAGGAGCCTAGGCAATTGTAATTGATGCCAACTGAATTTTCACGCAAGGAATCCAGTACTCCAGTACTTGGTGTTACTCCGAATTGAACCAAAATCTACCGACGTTTCAGTACCCCCAAATGCTGTCCTATTTCCGAACACTCGTTTAGTGTGCGGCAGTTTGTCCTTAGTTGAAAGATCCCCTTGAAATTTCTTTCCGCCCACTGACTTCCAAGTGGAAATTCTCTCTCTAGTCAGCGTTTTCCGCCGCGCCGATCAATCGATATGATGACATGCAAGAGGTATAACCCAAACTGCTAAAACATTTGGAAGCCACTCAACAGCCGAATCTTGTGCTCAACGCTGATTTGAGCTAACAAGTATCCGGCAAACGTATTATTCTGGATTCATGTTCTCTGACATTCGGATGAACACATTCACCTTGCGAATATAAACTCATCTGCAAACTAATTTGGTTCTTTCGAGAGAATCACCTGGAACCCAGCTGAGTCTCTCGTTTATGATGTTCTCAGGCAACTGAATGTGCTGCACCAGGCCGCCTCATGTTTCAGTCGCTACGATATTTGAAATATCGCGATACACGTATATTTGTAATGTACTACTCATAAGGTTGCTGAAAATCCATCGACAGCCCACGACCGGTTTCGCCCTTCTCGGGGCTCATCAGGTAGGTGCAGTCCCCGGGTTTCCGTCAACCTTATGTTCCACTTGAAACCAAATTGCACGGGATTGGCGAATATACACTCATCTGCAAACTAATTTGGTTCTCAAGCAACTGAATGTGCTGCACTGAAATATGAGGCGGCCTGGTGCAGCTATTTAGGTGGGTGCAAGAAACGATGTACATGTTTTACCAGTGCATACAGTGCAAAGTTTCTCATTAGCCTAGTTGCTATACGCAGCCCCATGTTGCACACAAGTGTCACCACTACCTGGAAGTAAGTGGGTGCGTAATCATGCAACTAGATGTTGGCGGAGTCCACCCATGAGTTGGTGAACATCAGAAGCTCGTCTGGCAATTTCAACCCTCGCAAATGATGCTGCGTAATAGAATCACGTTTGATGTCGTTCATTTTGGAGCGTGTCCAGGTGATATGTTTTATCCTAATTGGACTTGAGTAAATGAATAGCCTCTAACGTGCTGATACTCAAAACAAAGGTATCAACATCTGTGCCTGAGGTTCACACCACAACTCAAGGTCACTCCGGAAAATTTTCGCTGGTCACGCGAGGCGGAAAAATTCAAGAACGAAAGCAAACAGGCAGTGATCTTTTCAAGTCACTTGATAGCCGAATGTATGATTTGTTCATACTCACCTGATGAGTCCAAATACGGATAAAAATCTCGCGTTTGAATTTTAAACAATATGGGTGCGAGTGACATTTAGTACGGTGTCTCACCAAATAAGTACATTTATAGGTTTTCATAAAGGAACCTACTCACAAGCTTGCTGGAAACTCTGCAACATCCCACGACCGGTTTCACCCTCCTTGGGGCTCATCAGGTAGGCGCAGTCTCCGAGTTTCCATCAACCTTATGTTCTACTTGAACCCAAATTGGACTGTTTTCGAGAAATACACTCATTTGCAAATTAATCAATGCATTTATAGGTAGACGAATAAGTGAAGACCGGTCTATCCAACTGTCTGATAGCTATTTGGCGCTCAACTGGGCCTTCTCGTCGGAATGGTTGATCAAATCACGATAGGTACTGTGGCGCGCCATCTTGAGGAGTGAGTAATGGTTAAAATAACCTGATCAAAATCGCATTCGCTTTCCGGACTGCACTTTGTGAATGACCTTTGAGCGATCTGATGGAAATCGATAAATGATCAAACATATGTATGTCGGTTAGTCACCAACTTTTTCCAACAAATACCGCGAGTGGCTGTATATAGGCGATGAGACTAGATCAAAATGCGTTGTCTTGTGAGACTGTCATCCGAAATCGATTTGAAGCATCTAATAGTTATTTAATGTTTGAACCAACCAGTTCACATGGGGAAATCCAGAAGCTCTCAATTTTTCAGCCACCAGGCATTTCGGAGGTTGAAGCATTCTGGAAATAAAGTTGAAACTTTCAGTCTAGAGCCGGTCGCTTGCTTCATTGTGGAAACTAGCTTTTCGCCCTCACTAATTCCTAACCCCAGTTACTAAACGTAAACACCTGCTCCTGAATTTGTGCTCCCCACTGATCCGGGAAATCAAACCCGTTCGGGCAGCTGTCATTCGTCCGTAATAAAATCAACGTTTTTATGCTAAAATAGACGCAGAAGGCTTGTATATCTCACATCTGAACATGGAGCAAAGAACATACGAACTTAGGCGTAACAGGCTACTCACAAGGTCACCGAATGCACTTGGACAACACACGACCGGATTCACCATTCTTGGGGCTCATCGGATAAGCGCGGTCCCCGAGTGTCCGTCAACGGATGCACTCATTTGCACACCAGTTTGGTCGTGATTCTAGTGCTAGTGGGGGTTTCTCTGAGACTGTATTGGTTCTGTTGACTGTCACCTTACTTTTTACTTTCGTCTAAACAGTACTATTCACCTCCGGATTCGCTTCACCTTGCGCCGCTTTATTCCGCCTTTTGTGGCAGACGAAACTGTACTCAGTGCATTCATTCCGCAGCATTGTTTTACGCAATCCACAAAGTAATTAGTTCATGGTCGTTGGCGGGGCAATTGCCCAGCTCAGCGAACAAGCCAACGACCATCTACGCTACCTGAGCTACCGAAATTCTCCTCTGTAGAAAAGTAATTAGTTCAGTTAGTCAATTTTGAGTTTGAGGTCCTGAAGTTAAACAAGTGAATAGTAGCTCCATATAGAGTCATTTACTGACCAACTACCGACAGATTTCACCTGAGGATGGAGAAACCCAATAAGAGACGGCTATTTTTTTTTAGCTCACCGAAACAATGTACTGCCATTTTAGCCCACTCTGGAACTCGCTCTTCTATGCTTAAGCGTCACCACTTTCAGGTAAGATGGTTTATTCAAGCTGAAATTCCGTAAGCCCCAGAGTTCAATCGTGCGCAAACTCATAACATAGGTATCAAATCGGTGTCCTCAAAATCCAAGCTACAGCCCTATTCTTAAGGTCATTCTCACATCCTGCCACTGATCACGCAACCCAGATGAAAATACACAATTGAGAGTCAGGAACGGCAAAAGTCCTTCGCTGAAAAATGTCGTTGACCTGGCAACAAAAAAGTAAGTTTAGCCGGCAAGTACTGCGCGCATGGACGCAGAAGTTTTTTCCGCCAGAATGGTACAGAAAGTGTCTTTCCTCATTTATCCAACACTTAAGCGCTATTATCGATTGCGTGGCGCGCGACGAACAAGAGAGGACATTCAATTGGAAAATGTTTGGGACCGATTGGGAAGTCATCGTTTCAGAGGGGTTTGGTAAACAATCGGTGGATTTATTGTTGGACAACGTTTCGCTTTTGACACAAAAGCTTCGTCAGGCCAAGTGAGTAAGTAAGTAGGTTGATTGGGTTTTAAGGCAGTCAGGGAACCAATCCGTGAGATTCCTTATGACTGGTGACGTGATCAGTGCTGGGTGTTCAGTCTGATGTTCCTGTTTGTTGATTAGTGGGGATGACTAA